CTCCGGTTGGTAGTTCTGGAAGAAGGCAGTTTCCTTTGCAAGATAGCCTCTCATGACCCCAGTCCCCGTCTGGTCACAGGGGTCAGTAGAACCCCCTAAAGAGCCAAGCACAGTCTTAGCTCCTAGCCCCTTATCCCAGAGGGATGTGCACCCACTCCATCCCCAGAAATTGGCTCTGCCCCCTTCTCAGATAATCATCCGGCCAGGATACCATCATTTTGGGGTACCATCTTTGGTGGCTGCCCAATTTTCTGGGGAGGGTGTTGCTGAGAGCTGGAGGGAGTGGGAGAGAGTTGGTCTCAAATTGCTTCTGGCAGCCGGAGAGCTTGTGAGAAGGTCAGAGCCTCCTTCCCTAGACAAACAGCCCCCCGTGTGTCTCCCCGTGGGGCCTCTGTTAAGCTGTTGAGCAGACCAGGCACCGAGGGATGGCGGCCACCCAGTTAGACCACATGGAAATTTCAGCAGACGCCCCCACAGCCTTGGGCTCACCAGGAACAGGCAGCCATGGAGGGGGCAGAGAGGAGGTGACCAGGGGCACCGTTAGCAAAATACTCTTGGGTTCCTATTGCCCAATAAATCTTCCCCAATGGCTTTTTTTGGGCGATAAGCACTGATGGGGGCATAATGAGGTTGAGTCACTATCTGCTACCCAACCTTCCCCGAACCCTGATCCTTTTTCCCACACAGAGAGGCCTGCAGGGAAAATTGGCATAAACAGGTACAGAGCTGGAGGAACAGACCTTTTTACAGGGTCTTGGGATGGAGGGAGAGAGAGGTCTTTTGGCAAGTATGGCATTTAAAACACGAATGGGTTTCAGAGTGAGAGAAGGGCCCAGACCCACGTGAGGTCAGAAGTCCCTAGGAAAAAAAAATGGAGTAGATCATGTGGCCTACAGTGGCCTCTGTGTCCTCCTCACCGCATCCTCCATCTCCGTCCGGGAGCTGCCCTGAGTCCTCAGCTCCTCGCTGCTGGTGGCAGTGGGCAGGGGGGAGGTCCTTGGACTGGCAGCAATGGTGTCACTTGGGAGCTTGTTAGAAATCACAGTCTTAGGATGCACCCAGACCCAGTGAAGCAGAATCTGCATGGTAACAAGCTCCTCGGGCCATCTGTGTGTACCTCGAAGTCAGAGAAGCACAGGTCTAGCCTTCCAGACCTGTCCCCTTCCATCGCCACCGCTCAATCCCCCAGGCTGTTTACCCTGGGCTCTGGGCTGGCCTCCTTACCTTCCTGTTCCATGCCGCACCCCTCATATTCTGCAACTCTGCACTCCGCCAGCCTCCAGTTGGAAAATAAAAGTCTGACGGCTTCATGCCCTTGTGTAACTGAAGGTAGCTTAATGTGTCACCAAACTCACATAGCATTTTCACATTAGCACGTGAAAATCATCTGAACCCAAAAGCCGCATGGAAAAATGCAGGACACTGAGCAGTAACAGTGGGGAGGCAGCGCCTCTGAACCACTCCGTACTGCCACTGATCCAGGCCAACCTTGCGGAGGGTGGCTTAATTCATCCTCTTGTCCCTCTTTTCAGTGGCTCTGCCTATTGTGATCCCATGGGAGGAGGGCGTGCGGCAAAGAAACAGGGTGGGCTGAGCCAGGGAAACTCTCCCTGATCTGCTCTCCTCTTCGCCCACTCCGCTAGCTCCATCCTTCCGCCCAGAGGTAACTGATCTATTGAGATGCTATATCCTTCTAGATTTTTCTATATATTAAAATGTTCAAATATAAAATATTCTATAGATAACCCGTGAATATCATTTTTACACAATGAGCTCATTTTTAACTTTTTTTTTTGCAACTTGAATCACTCTCTGATCAAACTGAGGATATGATCCCAAGTCAGCATGTTGTGTATTTGAATATGTCTAGGATAAATCTCTAAGTGTGGAATACGTGTGTCAAAGGATACGCCCAGTTTTAATTTTGACAGATTTTGCCAAGTTGCCACCCAAATATACAGAACTGACTTACTCTCCCTCCAACAGTATGGAAACAACTCTTCCTCATACCCCATCAACACTAGACATTATCCAACTTTCTAACCTCTGTCAATCTAATAGGTGGAAAGAGGGCGTCTCAATGTGGTTTTGATTTGCATTTCTCGAATGATGAGTGTGGTTAAACTTCTTTTTTTTTTTTTCATGTGCCTGTTAATGTTTTAAACCTTTGAGCCAGTTGGGATTTATTTTGTTATAAGAATAGAACTTTATTTTTTCCAAATGTACTAGATATTAAATAATTCACATTTCACCCCCTTGATTTGAAATGGCACCCAGCTCTAAATTTTAAAAATGAAAAGAGGTCACTCAATCTAAACTTCACACTATATACAAAAATTAGTTCAAATGCATCATGGATTTAAAAGTAAAATATAAAACGTTTAGAAGATAAATAGATGAAAAAAAAAAGATAGGAGAGTATTTTCAGTACCTAGGATTAAGCAAAGAGTTCTTAGGCATGACAACAAGAATGAAACTTGTAAAATAAAAATACACCAAAATTAAAAACTTCTGTGCTGTGAAATATCCTGTTGAAAAAAATGAAAGGACAAGCTACAGACTAAGAGAAAATATTTGCAAACCACATATTCAACAAAGGCTTATATATAGAATATATTTTGAAAAACTCAAAACTCAATAGCAAACTACCCACTAAAATCCAATTATAACATGTGCAAAAAGAGTTGAACAGATATTTCACTACAGAGGAAATACAGATGGCAAAGAAGTACATGAAAAGATATCCAATGTCACGTGGGAAATGCAAATTGAAAATTATTAAAACCACAATGAGACATTGCTACACACCTGTTAGAATGACTGAAATAAAAAAATAATGATAACACCAAATGCTGATCAGGATGTGGAGAAACTGGAACTCTCATATGTTGCTGGTGGAAATCTAAAAATGGTACAATCCTTCTGGAAGATAGTTTGGCAGTTTTTAATAAAACTAAACATGCAATTACTCTATGACCCAGAACTTGTCCACTCCTGGACATTTATCCCAGAGAAATGGAAACACGTGTTCATACAAAAACCTGTATGTGAATGTCCACAGCACTTTCATTCAAAATAGCAAAAACAAAAAACAAACAAAAAACCCTGGAAACAGATCGATTGTCCTTCAGTGGGTGGATGGTTAACAAACTCTGGTAGATCCATACAGTGGAATATTATTCAGTAATTTTTTAAAAAGTATTCACTATTCATACATGCAACAATCTGAGTGGCCTCAGGGGCATTATACTCAGTGAGGGGAAAAAACCCCTCAGTTCCACATAGTCACATGCTGCATGATGTTTGATTCCATTTATATAACATTCTCCAGATAGTAAAATTATAGAAATGGAGAACAGGTTAGTGGCTGCCAAGGGTCAGTGATGGAGAGAAGAGGTTTGGGTACACAAGTACAAGCAGATAGCACAAGGAGTCCTTTTGTAATGATGGAACCATTCTGTATCTTGAATTGTGGCATTACAAGAATCTATTCATATGATAAAATTGCATACAGCTACACAGACACAGACACACACACACAAGAACACAAAATGATGAAGATAAAATAAGATCTGTAGTCTAGTTAATGGTGTGCATCAATATCAATTTCCTGGTTTTTATATGGTACTGTGGTTATATAATATGTCATCATTGGGGAAGCTAAGGGATACTAATTTGGCAACTTCCTAGGAATTTCTAACTATTTCAAAAGAAAATGTTACAATTTTTTTCAAATGAAAAAATAAGAGAAGAAAAACCATCTTTGCCAAAGACCTTCCTGTTGCACAGGGTGGCTCTCTTTAGCAGTTGCTTTATTCACAATAACCTACTCCCTCCCCAGACACACAACATACCATCTTTTTCAAAAGTTTCCCGTGGAATGAAAGGTACCTTGGACCGAGACATACAGAAAAGTTCCTTAAATAAAAATAGTTCAAAGAACATTGTTATATCCTTTTTCTAGACTCACTGATTAATATTTTGACCCATTCACTTTATCATATGGGACCTAGTTATCCATCTGTATCACTGTTTCTGAACCAATTGAAGGTAAGTAATGTACATCACGGGTCTTTGCCCCTACACAATTTAGTGTTTACTTCCTAAGAACATTCTTCTGTACAATCACAGTACTGTCACCAACTTCAGGAAAGGTAACACTGACTCAGTACTTCCAGCCATTGTTCTTATTCCATTTTCATCAGTTTCCTCAATAACGTCCAGAACAGAATCCAGCCTTGGGTCAGGTACCGCAAGCTGTCATGTCTCTTTGAGAGCCTTAGATTTAGTAGCTCCAGCTTTGCTACCAATGTCTCCTTGTCACCGGGCACCCAGAATTCTCACCTGCAAAGTGAGGTGGTGGTAATTGCCCCGCCTATTTCTTTGTGAGTAAAGGCGCTTTACTCATTTCTAAGAGCTAAATAGGATATTTCTCTTCTGCATCATGATTTCCCAGAAGCAGCTAAACTTATGTCGTGGGTTGGAGCAGAGGAGACTCGCTTTGGTTTTCGCTCTCAGCCTGGGAAAACGATGTAGGGAGGAGGGAGGCGACCCAGGATCCAGGAGAAGAAGGAGAGTGTTAAGAGTCCTCTGTGGAAGGCAAGCCCGAGACTGTGCGAGAGACTTCCCTTTTCCCGCACCTGGAGCGCCGGGCGGCCAATCAGCGCGCGGCTCGAGCGCGCGGCCAATGGGAAGGCGGCGCGGCGCGCCCCCAGGGCTATAAGTGCGCGGGGCCGCGGA